CAAACCCAGGGCCGGGGGACGACGGACTCTGACTCGGGATCCTGATGCTGCCTCACCTGTGGGCATGGCTCTCGTCAGATGCAACCTCAGCTTCAATTTGAGAGACCAACGCAGGGCAGGGCAGCAGGGCCCAGAGTGGGAGACGGCCAGGCTCTGTGTCGAGTGCCCCAGAGGACAGCTCTGCAGCCAGTGAGGCAGGGGCGACAGCAGGGGCCAGCTGGCCAGGAAAAGGACAGGAAAGGAGGCAAAAGCCACTGAAAAGAACCAGGTTCTAGGCAGCGGCTGGGAGTTTCTCAGTGGAAATGCACACCGGTGATTCCTGGTACACCCATCCCTGGCTCCCAAGAGAAAGCCCTGTCTGGACCCCACCCACCGAGCTCTGTCAGGAGCCAGTAGCACCGAGTCTCCAGGGCTCCAGCACCTGCACTCGGAGGTGGGGCCCGTCATCCACCAACACACGCAAGACACACAGAAGCCAAAGAAAAAGTCTGACTCACGGTGCCAACTGCTCTAGAGTGGAAGATGTCAGTGGCCGTCATCACACACAGGATGAAGCCATGACCAGCACAGCAGCTGCCCGCTCCTCCGGCTGCAGTGGGGGTAGATCCGAGGCATGGGGCCTTGGGCGTGGGGCCGAGCACGTGGGGTCCTACCAGCTCCACTCACTGTGTCCTTCAGGTTCTCAGATCTGGACAACAGGGCTGTGTGCTGCCTGCTGCAATTCTGAGAAGGAAACGCCTCCTGTGTCTGGAGGCCGGGCACTGCGCCTGGAGTCGGAGGGTCGAGCGCTGGGCACCAAGCTCGCCTTGTCCCAGGAGAGGGCAGAGCAGTGCAAACACACTTTCCAGCCTGCTGCAAGTCACAGCCACCTTTCTGTCCGTGCTTCCTGAACAGAACAAGGCTCAGTGACAGGCAAGGGGGACGTGCGGAGACGAACGCGCTCTTGTTCTGGTGGGAGGAGTGGCGTCACGGCGGAGCTGGGCGGCAGAAAACTCAGGCTCTGAAGGAATCAGGCTCTTTACCCATCTGCTTGCTCTTTCCTCATCCCCATGCCGTGAAACCTGCCCCAGCCAGCTCGGCCCAGCTCTGCGGACACAGAGCTTGCCAGGTCACATCGACAGTCACCGCAGGTCCCCCGCTCCCTGACCCAGCCCGGCCACCTCACTCCTTCCCTCGCCCCCCAGGCCCTCTGCACTCTCCTCAGCTCTCTAACACCCACAGTGACCCTCCTGACACCTGATACCCTCACTCCACTGTGGGCTCCCGGGCTCACAGCCATCAGCTTCCACGCATGCACAGCCCGAGTCGGGACTTCCACCTGTCCTCACCCCTGAGCCGCTGCTGCGGGTCCCGCGCCGAGACGCTGCCTGGGGTGCAGGGGACCCCATCAACATTCACTGTTAAACCCACACCACCACCACAGGAACGTGCCACAGGAAACGGCCTTTTAACAATTAAAAGCTGGGGTTTTTAATGTAATCACGAGGCATAGTCTCATTAAAAAAATGTTTATTCAATGAAACTATGTAGCACTGAAATGAGTGCTTCCCAAAATGCAACCGGCAATTGGATCTAACAAGGGAACTTCAGAATTATAATTTAAAAATAAAGTGTTCACTTGTGAAAAATTTACTATTAAACTAAATTTCAAATTAAGAATTTTAAAACTATACGTCTGTAGTACAAGCAAATAAGCAAACTTATTCACAAGCTTAAAGATCAAATGTGACTGTTTTATTTGGCTTCCTACTGGAAGAACCCTTAAATCAGGCTCCTTCAAGCACCTGCAGCCAGGGTGAGCCAGGGGACAGACATTTTTGGTGGAGCATTTATCACTCTGAGAATAGCACCACTCTTTCTGGGACAAGTTCATAACTGGAGCTCCCCAGCCTCGTAGCATTCTGGTGGGGATTGCCAACACGAAACCTAACAGAGCCTGGCATTCTGATGAGGGAGGACAGACAGGCTGGACATTCTCCTGAGAAGGGGCTCCCTTCCTCGTGGGAAGCTCGGTTTCAAGTCACAGATGTGTTGCTGTTAAAAGGTACTTTGCTGTGTACAATTTGAGAGAGTATGAGAAAATGCTGGCGATGTGAGGTAACTACTGAGAATCACCGTCTCTGTTTTCTGGATCGTGATCTTCCGAAAGCAAAGCCTCAGCTTCCCGGCTTCTATTTACATCCAGATATAAAGCCCCAGCTCACTCGGCACCTGCTTCCACTCCTGGAATTCTGGCCAGCCAGTGGCTGCTGCCTACGACAGCTTTTCCTCTAAGAGCCCCAACGTATGACAGTCATCACAGCTTCCCTCCACCGCGATTTCGCCAAACCCCGACCTCCTGCAGATTTGCACCCAGCGCGAGCACAGGCTGTTTCTTCCCAGAAGGTAGCTGCCTGGTTGCTTCTCTGCGTTGACACGCGCAGTGCTAAGAACAGCCAATCCAGAAAGCTATAATTGGTAAGCAGGACACAGAGAGATTCGAAGCCAATTATTGGCCAAAAAAAAATGGGACAAATGTCAAGCCTGACGAGCTCTTTCACTTCTGCTGTACATGAATTCCATGGGAGCAGCGTAAATGAAAGGCCCCGGGTCCACCGGTGGCCTGGATGTGGCTGCCTCTTTCCCTGCTGTTCTTGCTGGAACACCTGGGCAGAAAGTGGCGGCTCCATTGCTGCCTGGAGGGCGGCAGCCAGCAGCCTGGCAGCGTGGGGCTGGGGAGCCGCTGCTGCTCCCCATGCAGGCCACCCCGCTTTGCTGAAGTGGTCCTAAGTAGCTGCCTGTAATTTCCCCCTATGAAGCTCAACGCTCTTAACTATTCAGTTGTAACAGCTGATGAACAGAAAGGTATGTTGGCAAAAAACAAGGACTTTCTCTTCGATACCAAATTCTCATGCCTGTAAACACACGCCCGTGTGAATGAAACGTTAACAGAACACCGCTGCCGCACGCGACTTCCTGATCTCCACAGCGCTCAGGAGTCCAACGGAATCTTCAAAGCACGTGATTTATTTTGATCCTGGTTTCTTGTTGTTTTGGGTCTAAGAGCTTTTGTGAGGCGAACGCGTGTACTGCTCTGGCATACGGAAATCCGGGCAGCTACTCGCCTCTTCCTGAGGCTTTCAATTTGGAGAGAAGACGGACAATGCTTCTTCGTCCCGCTCTACTGAGCAATGATGTCACTGAAAACACCAGAAAACTGAAACAGACGAACGTCCTCAGCACTGCGAATCACACAATTCCCACGCCACCAAGAGAATGCAGCCATACAGGGTCAGCCACAAACGCAGGGACGATCAGAGCCCCCGAGTCCACACCAGGCCCACACTGAGCCCTGCATGGCTGGCGCGCTCTGCCCTTTGCGCGCCAATCCTGACCACAGGGCTGACCTGCCCTCTCACTGCTGAGGACGCTACCCGTGCAACCGGCAAGGCTGAAGGAAGCAGCGAGCTCTCTGCAGCCAGACATTCCGGACAGCGACGGTAATGAAAGATGGTTTTCTTTTGCTTTCCTCCCCTCGTTAATGGGTTTGTGAGGTGCTTAGAGCAAAAGACACTCCATGACTGGCCCAATGCCCAGCTGCGCTTTCATTTAATGATGAAAGCCGTTGCTTTCCCGGTGAAATGCAAAACTCCAGCCACTTAAATCAGGACTCCAATTCAAAAACTGCTGGGAAACTTTATTTTCAATTCTTAAAACAAGGAAGGAGGCAGGGAGGAAGGGAAGGGAGGAAAACAAGGACAGACAGAAGGAAAGAAGGGAAGAAGGAGGGAGGGAGGGAGGGAGGGAGGGAGGGAGGGAAGGAGGGAAGGAAAGAAGGAAGGAAGGAGGGACGGAGGGAGGGAGGGAGGGAAGGAGGGAAGGAAGGAAGGAAGGAGGGACGGAGGGAGGGAGGGAGGGAGGGAGGGAAGGAAGGAAGGAAGGAAGGAGGGACGGACGGAGGGAAGGAAGGAAGGAAGGAAGGAAGGAGGGACGGACGGAGGGAAGGAAGGAGGGAAGGAAGGAGGGAAGGAAAGAGGGACGGAAGGAGGGAGGGAGGGAGGGAGGGAAGGAAGGAAGGAAGGAAGGACGGACGGACGGATGGACGGAGGGAAGGAAGGAGGGAAGGAAGGAAGGAAGGAAGGAAGGAGGGACGGAGGGAGGGAGGGAGGGAGGGAGGGAAGGAAGGAAGGAGGGACGGAGGGAGGGAGGGAGGGAGGGAAACAAGGCGAGGGTGCATCTTCCCCGCAGCCAGGCCGCCAGAGCTTCCGCGGTGAGGAGAGCGCCCTCCTCTGCACCATCACTGAAACGACTGCCCACCCACGGCAGCCACGGGGCACTTGAACTATGGCCAGTGAAATGACGAACCGAATTTTAAACTGTATTACATTTTAGCGCATTTAAAATTAAATAGCCACGTGTGGCTAGGAGCTGCCACACTGGACACAGCAGAGCTTTACTGTGGAAAGCCCAGTTCAGTAGGACTCACAGCTAGCTGATGACAGCTCAGTCCTGAAGGATGACGTGAGCACACCCAGCCTGTTTTGGTTTTCTCGGCTTCAACAGAGGTGAATAAAGAAAAGCGATTTTCTTCCTCATGTTCATGTTTGACTGGCAGCTTGATTTTCTGGGTGATAAAGAGAGAGTATGATTTTGCTTTTGCATGTTATGCCATCAACATTCTAAGCACAAATCTCCCCCTTCAGAGGAAGCGGTTAGGAGACTCGGGTAGGGCGAAAACCATGTGAACCTTGCTCAGCCTCTCTTCAAAACGCCACTGCTCTGGAAACCTACAGAAAGGTAATTTCCTTTCTCTTTTTGCTATTTCTTCTTCACTTTCTTCACTCTAATGTAGCGCATAACTAAATCAAATACAGTACGCCTTTAGAAAAACTCTTCAACACAATGTAAGTCTCAATGAAACCACGGCACAGCAAGCTGAACGGGAAGGGCACGGAGCAGCGGGTACGGGCGTGTCCATGGCTTTGAGCGCCCGTGCACACACAGACACACGACGAGGAAACTTCCATGGAAACACTTTTATTTCTGGAATTCTGAAGAAAAACAATGTACAGAGCCTGCGTGACACAGAGCAGCCGCGCTGGAACCACAGGGGCCGCCCCGAGCCGGCCTTGCGCAGCGGCCCACTGTTTTCCAGTGAGAACGATGGGTCATTCTAAAACAAAGCTAGAGGGTCCGAACACCTGAGGGACGCTGCTTCCCGACGCCATTCCCTACACTACAGGACGGACTGCTTCTGTGCGGCCACTCCCTCCACCGAGCCCCCATCTTAACGCTCTACGGTGTCCAGGAGAGTCTGGCCGACGCGGCTGGAGCGGAGGGCGCCGTTCACTTCAGCCAGATCCACTTGTCTCCTACGTCGGCGTTGAACCCTCTGCTGTACTTGCGGCCTGGCAGCTGTGGGGGAAAAGGCATTGGAGCACTCTGTTGAAAGTGAATGAATGTGTTCCCAGCCCACAGTTCACTGTTTACCCCGCAGATGCCTGTGGTTCATGAGTTCACTCAATGTGCTGGTGAGCACCTGATCTGTAAGTGCAAGGATGCCACCGAGTTACACAAACCACGGCCTCCTGCCTGCCAGCAGCTCCTGTCCTAGGGCTGGGAGCTACAAACCGAAAAGAACCACCTGAGTGCTCTCGTTAATGCCAGGAGGGGGACAAGTGCCACGGGAGGGGAACAGAGCCCTGCGTGGCACTCAGGTGAGGTCCTGAGGGGGACAACCATGCAGACACAGGGGTGGGGCTGGGGCCCAGGAACCCCGGTTCACCATCTGAAACACGCCCGGGTGAAATGCCCTCTGAAGAGGGCCTGCAGTGGCCGGGCCACTGTCTGGAAGGAGCCCTTGGCGGAGTAGGAAAGTGAGTTTAACCCGTGCCTTTTAGGTAGACGTGGGCAGGGTTCAGGAAAACTGGCAAAGGAGGGGGAAGCACCGCAGGACTGACCCTAGCAGGAGCCACAGGACGAAATGACCACGGAGGCCAGAAGAGGGGGTGCTGCCCGAGAGGCTGGGCTTGGCAGTGAGGGAGCCACAGGAAGGGTGCCACGGCCCCACTTCTCCCACCGTCTGGGAGGTCAGGTGCGCAAGTGGCGGTCCACAGAGGCCAACCTCCCAGGGCACACGGGGACCTGAGCCCCTGCCAGCACACACACACCTGTTTGTGAGGGCGGCGGCCAGACTGGGGTGGCTGGGGCAGACAGAGGCATGCTGCTCCCACAGGGCCGCTGGGCGCAGGGCCTCGAGGAAGGCGCCCAGCATGGTGCGTGTCGCCCGGCAGCAGGAGGTGGAAAAACAATGAGTTTTTCATATTTTCAAATCAGCATGGGCACACAGCCAGTATGTGTACACACACACACACACACACACACACACACACACACACAGCCAATGTGCGCACACACACACCTTCCCAATTCTGTCCTTAAGAGCAGGTACTAAAATCACTTCTAAAAGAATCAGCTTTTCCTTTATCCTATTCAGCAGCATTCGTTCACAGCCAGCCATGGCTGTCTGGACCACAGGTCACTGACATGTGCCTGGCCTGGCCCGTGGCACAGCGCTCACGCAGTGACAGACACACACACAACGCATCCTAAGGAACAGCAGGGAGGTCGCCCCAAGACCAGCCGTCTCAGACACAGGACAGGCAGAGCTCCGAGGATCTCTGAGGCCCAGGAGCCAGCCTCCAGCCTCTGCGGAGGCCTCTCCTCTCCTGGGTGGGCAGCTCTGAGTGGCCTGGGGCGTGGAAGGGCTGGAGCAGTGTTAGTCCATTCTTGCGCTGCTATAGAGACCTACGTGCAGCTGGGTGACGCAGAGAAAAAACAGGTCTGATCAGCTCTCGGTTCTGCAGGCTGTGTGGGAAGCATGGCGCCAGCACCTGCTTCTGGGGAGGCCTCGGGAAGCTTCTCATCATAGCGGAAGGCAAAGTGGGGGCAGGCGCTCCACATGGCGGGAGTGGAAGCAAGAGCTCGAGGTGGGTGGGGGTGGGTGCTGCCACAGACTTTAAAATGAGCAGGTCTCGCGTGAACTCTAGAACACACTCACCGCCTCGAGGAGGGCACTAAGCCATTCAGGGGGGATCCACTCCCGTGACCCAGATACCTCCTGCCAGGCCCCCACCTCCAACGGGGGATCCCATTTCTACGTGAGACTTGGAGGGGACAGACATCCCAACTACATGACATGCTCATCAGAAGGCGGGGGTGGGGTGGCACAGACTCCAGCTTTCTGGCCCAGGACATGGTGTGGAGACAGACAGTTTTGTTTAGGTACCAGGAGAATTCTGGGACACAGAAGAAAAAAGAAAAGCCCAGCTCCTTCAGGGGTTTAAAATCTGAAAAGAGATTAAGATGAAGGCACAGGTCATTCAGCCAGTGACACCGAGACAGCCCAGGGGGCCCGATATTGTGGGATCCCTGCAGGAAGCGCGGGAAGCTGGTCTGGCAGAGTCCAGGGAGGGAGGTGTCAAGACAGACCCCTCCAGGGTCAGGGGGTCTCCCAACAACTGCTGCTCGAACTGCAGGTGACTACAGGTGGCAGGAAGACTGCAGGAGCGTGGCGGTTCTGACAAGACTTTTGGCCTAAGGTGTGGCCTCTGTCAGACGGGCTGCAGGTGCTGTTCCTGGACTGGGGAGCAGGGATGGGCACCTGGGCTGACCTCAAAGGGCCTGATGGGGTCAGGAAGGCCTGGGTGTTAGAAAGGAAGAGCCGGCGATCCCCAGAGAAGGTGAGTGTTGGGTCTGCTTATGGAATGTGTGCAGGGTGTGGGCCACACGGCAGACTGCCCCGTAGAAATGGCCTGTGGGCAGTTGGAAAACTGGGTCTGTGGCTTAAAAGACGGGGCTGTGCAGCCACTACCCAGTAACTGAGGCAGTGCCCTGTGAGCTGAGCATCCAGGGGCACGGAGAAGCAGAGGCTGAAGAGCAGCACCTCGTGGCCCAGGCTGCAGAGGGACTGAGGAGTGAGGCGCGCAGCCCACAGGAGGAGCTGGGCGTGAGCACGCATGACACACGGGGCCTTGTGTCACGGTGATCGGGTAGCCACTGGCCCTGCACCAGGACACGAGGAGCTGTGGGAGGAGACCAGACTAGCGGGAGAAGCAGTCAGCAGCTGAAAGGAGGGACACAGAGCCTGGGCTGTTTTCACAGGCCAGGTGAAGACACGTGCGTCTGTGCCTGCAGGCCTGTGCGTGTGCAGCGGGCTGGCAGGTGGGGTCTCCGCATCAAGAAGAGGTGGAGATCTCTATCTCAAGATGCCCAGCCCCTGGAACCTGTGAACACATGGTCTCACCTGGCAAAAGGGCCCCTGCAGCAGGGGACTGGGAGATCACCTGGGATATCCACATGGTCGCAGGCCATCACTAGAGTCCTCAGAGACCAGAGAAGGAGATGGGACAAGGGAGGCAATGGCCACAGTGACATGGGCCAGGCGCTGAGGAACGGGGGTGGCCTCTAGAAGCTGGAAAGGTAAAGGCCCTGGATCTTCCCGTGAGCCCCAGAAGGAGCCAGCTCTGCCCGCACCCCGATTTTAGAACCTCTGCCTCCAGATCTTGAGGAGGACGCATGTGTGCTGCTGTAAGCCACTCGTCAGTGGCAGCTGGCAACTTCTGTAGGGTGTCTGCTCCTTATGATGGGAGGTACCAGGGCATGTCTGTACAACAGGAAGAAGGAAGCTGTGCAGGGAACAGGCCAAGGACGCAGGAGAGGGCGGGTCACCTCCAGGAACAAAATCAGGGAGGGAGGAGCAGGCCCGAGAGCTGCTGATGAAAGCAGCAGCAAGGCCCCTCAGGCACAGTGCGGCCAGGATGCCGAGCAGCCGGCACACAGGAGCACTGGAGGCGGTTCCCTATCTCAGAGGCAGTTCCTGCCAGAAATTCATTTTTCACTTGAAGGACCAACTGCAGACTGACGTCCAAAGAACAGAAGGTTTACACCTGAACGAAAGATTCCCTCAAAGTTTTCCCGCTGAGCTGACACTGCCTCAAGCCCACAGGCGGCCCATGGGCACCTCCCTGAAGACGCCGGCTCAGCTCTCCCCGGGTTTCCAACTGAAGTTGTCATTTCCAGTTTTACTCAAACACAGGACCAGCCATGCAGGTCCGTTCACAGCAGCATTTACAGAAGCAGGGCTGGGTTTGGGACAGTCTGGCTCCGTTTTCATCTTTGCAAATCGAATTTTACATCGGAGCAGAGCAGAGAACATAAGCTAGCAGAATACCAAACATGCGAAGTCCGGCCAGTGGCTATTAATCATCTCGCAAAATGTGTCTCTGGACTTCTCGGGCAGCAGGTAACTGGCATTTGATGCCCAGGAGGGGCTCTCAGATCCGGGGAGGGGAGTCTCTTTTCAGTGTTTTAGGCCAACAGAGACCCCCTCAGTGTGGAGGGTTCATCCGAAGCATCTCACACTGGGAACACGTAAAAGCATACCCTTAGTTTCCATTACACTTCATGTCTGTATCTGCTCATTTAAAATAAGCCTTCAACCCCCAAAGCCCAGCGCTCCCTCATCACAGGAGAAAAAGCACACGCTAATGCCTGGGACGAAAGCAGCAAAGCCCGTTCTCTCTCAGGGCGGCCTCACTGCGGCAGCCACACCAGGCCTCGCCAGAACTTCCTCCCAAGCCAAGCTTTCCTGGATCTGCTCGTTCATGGTGCCTGGTGCGTGGCTGTGGCATGCGTGGCACCTGTGTGCATGCCTGTGCGTACGAAGGCTGAGACGGAAAGGGCATGTGCTGAAATACTCAGGTGTGGGCCGTACACCCACTTCAAAATGAAAAGAAAATCATGTTCCTCCTGTCAGAAGTCGGGGCTTCTGCTGAGTGTATACCGGGTGAGCAAACCAAAAATCCTTAAAAAGCCAAAGAAGAAAGAGCGCCTAACAGAAAAAGGTTCAAACCCCTCAAGGCTCCTCCTCTGCAATCCCTTTTACTATAACGAGGCAAACCTAATTCCCTCACTGGATCTCTGAATTCAAGGCATTTTGGACTCCCTCGATTCACAGCACTCTGATCAGTTTGACACTTTCAGGAGACGCTTTCCCTGCATTTCATTTTCCATTAGAAATCAAAAAGCAAGTTTACTACAGAAAGGGGAAAAACCTCAGTAAACTGCAAAGCCAAACATACCCAGTCCTCTTCCAGGTCCCGGCAGCTACGCCACCCACGACCCTGGAGCGCATCAGTCCCCGGTGGCCCATCCGGAGAGTTCCAGGGCGAGGCTTGGAGCCAGGAAGGGATTTCAGACAGCGCACAGGGAGGCTCCCTGCCCAGTCACCCTGGCAACCTGGGCTGACCCAGTGTAGACACTGAGCTCCCTTCTCCGAGAGCTGCTGGTTCCGGGGCTGGGCTGGAAATGACAGCTCCCCACCGATGGATCCCAGACTCGGAGGATGGGGGTGG